CGAGGTCAAATTTCGTGTTGACCCGTGAAATCTGTTGTTGCTATAAAATCAAAAATTATTCCTCGAAATTAAATCTAGTTGCATAATTAGGGTGCTATTTATTCCCTGACGCATTTTTGGTATATTGAGATGTACCGACGTATAATACACGAAAAAATTCTTCTGGATCGTAGTTGAAATTGGTTATAAACGCTCTTCAAAGTTTCATAAATATTTACTTACCATCATATACCCACTTAGTTGAGCTTCCATAGTAATAAACACTTTTCAGCAAGAGATCATTCGAAATGTAAAAAACTAATAATTATCGTATGGCGAATGCTCATGATGTTAAATAAACTTTAACTACGTTTTATTTCTAGTATTCAAAACACTTTGAGGTCTGGACAAAAGGACAAAAGTTTGTTTAATAAAATCGCGATTGCGTTTTACTAACAAAGGTGAGCATTGAAGAGTTGCATTTGGGTTTACCTTGTGTATTATTAAATACACCGTTGATTTATCCAGCTTACCTCGTAAATCTTTACCGACCGGCGTACTTTCGAAATTGGCGAGGTCAAATTAAAGGAAGACATAACAACAACTTTATTTGTATATATATTCTATTCGAACATTTTATTATAGCCTGTTGCTTTGGCAGCAAATCAGATTTACAAAACTTAAATTAAATTTGAAATAATTTTTGTTTAACCAGCGGAAGCCCAAAAGTATTACAGAAGATTCTAAAATAAATTAAAGAGAAGCTAAAGCAAGTATCTACAAAGGAATTTGTTAAGTCATTGATTATTACAATTGCAGCTGTAGGAGTATGTATATTAGATCACCTGTGATTGAGTGTATTTGAGTAGCTCTTTTGAAAATTTATACCGAGACACGACTTACCTATTCGTGAAACATTTTTTTATTATGGTATCTGTAGACACTTTATCTACTGTTTGTTATATACTTCACCCTTCTGTACTAATATGCTGGTATTTCAAATATGGAAGAGCTTATTGGTTAGTAAGTAGGTTGAGAAGGAAATGCGATGTATACCAAATAGCCATACTTAAGCCAATATTACGATTATTGTGATACCCAGGGAGCCCCATTTATTTAGCACTCAACAGCTTGTTTAATTTCAAGTAATTTTTGCATTTTTTACACTCTTAAAGTTCAATTTTTGGAACATTGGAGACCATGAAATTTATATCGTCTCAATCGGCTGCGAGCTAGTTGCTTGAAAAAGGTTTGGCTCCATCTGAAGACTTTATTTAATATGGGGTCACAGAAATAAAAGCCTTGTGACGACGAATTTCATGCCATTGTTTTCCGCCTCGCCTTAATGTATATTATGATGTCTTCATAAATGCTGTCAGTTACAAAAATCGTCCGTTAGCGATCCGCGAAGGAAACCGGAATCAGTACAACAGTAGAGTTTTTTCTTCATAAATTTATAAATATATAAATATATACTATAATCTAATACTATAATCTCTCGAAAATCACCCTTTTTAGGCTATCAAACTGATTCTAATATACCCTTAACGGTAGACTCGTCATGGTTTTCTAGACTAGATCATCTAAGTTGTCGAAAACGCCGATTTAAATAGTAGGCTTCCTTGGAGAAAGAACTAGAGATGACTTAAACTTTAGGAAACTAAAATTAACGGGTACATGACCTACTCTGCGAAAATTGCAATACGATAACATTCCTCTTGTGATGCATGGTTCGATTTTAACTACGTCCCAACACTGAACAATAATTGGAGAAAGTTGAAACGGAATCTTGATGTTTTACTGAAAAACACCGCATCAATTAATAAACATTATAGAACAACGATCATTCCAGGAAGGTAGAAATTCTTTAAAAATCAACTGTGAACTTCTGACCATATCTGCTTAAAAAATAATTATATTACAATTGAGGGCACCCTTTACTTTCACGCGTCCCCTATAAACACAATACCATTGTAAACTCACTAAACATGCAAATAAACTGACAAACGGAATTACATATGTGTCCCGAAGAACTGACGCTACTCACAGCCTTCGCGAGCTCATTTAAATTTTTAATTTATTTTACATTTACATTTGTTTTGACGTCTAATGCTATGCAATTAGCGACATCTTTGGCGAGAGCACGTTACTAAAGCAACTGTCATCAAATATATAATATTGTATATACTTACATATGTATATGTGCTTGTACTTCCTTGTTGTGAATAACAAAACATCCCTAAACAACAACAACTGTTTTGACGATAGTAACACACAACAAAACTTCGGCGACGACAGTTTTGGCATAGATTTGCATACACTAGATTTCAAGCCCCTAGCTAGTTTAGTTTTTCCCACTGCAAGCAACTTGTTATTGTTGTTGTTGCTCCGGCATATGCTGCACACTACATAATTTAACTAATAAACAGGAGTAGTTGATGCCAGTTGTTGTTGTTAGATTTAGTTGACGGCACTGTTATTTGTTTTCTACACTCACTCGCACAATCCTTATTATTTACTCCAGCTACATCGTGGATTCGAAAATCCTATATAATTAGATACAAACATATAACATAATATTTATTTACGCATGTGTATGTGTAGTATGTGTAACGGTATTTCTATTTGGTCTTGTATTCTAAATGAATTCATCAACCGCGTTCGCTCATCTACATACTTGTATGTCAGCTGTCGCGCTTTTAATTACTTCTCATTGTTTTGGCGTATCGTGGAATATGGGGGGTTGGAGGAAACCAAAAGACAAGAGACCAAATAAATATTGCTAGAATGCTACTTACGGAAGAGTGCTTTGTGGATTTCTGCAGAATATATACATATGTATATGTCTGTTGACAATGAGTTGTTGAGGTAAATAACTCAAGGTAATATCAGTAAACGAAAGTTCTTCTAGGCAAATTATGTGGAACCAATGAGTTGGTGTAGTTGACTACACACATTTAAATATGCTTTTGTTTATATGATGCTGATGTGTCTGGAGAGTATTCTTTATTGGAGGTGCAAGAATTTGAGTGACATAAAGATTTTATTGAAGTTAATGAAATCTTGTGATTCCTCTACTCACCTCTGTTAAGAAAGATAAATTTTAGCATGATAAATATTGTGTAGTCCAAACTTTAGAAATGATAGAAGTGACTTCCAACATCTTCTGTAGATCGAAAATCAAACACATAGAGCGACACCTTCTTTGAAATAAAGGGTTGATAGTAAAGAAAACAGAAATTCCAAAAATACTGCATATGATTTTAAAAAGGAAGTATTTTATAGTGGTCGGTTTAGAGATGAGCAGCTTTTGCTTTATTGCTATCGCATAACTTAGTGCACTCTATGAGTCCATTGAGATCATGAAAGTAAATTCGTTGAAAGAACTAAAAGACTAAGAATCAAAAGAAAGCTCTTTAATTATGATTTTTAGCTCTTGATTCAATTTTGATGTTTACTTAATAGTATTTATAAGAGTCGGATTTTCCTTCGTTATCTCAATCAAGTCGACAATCGCAACTCTCAAAAGGCAATAGGACCAAACAGACAAGTTTATAAAAATAAACTTTATAAGTCGACTAAGCGCAGTTAGACTTAGTACAAGTGCTACAGCTAGGTTTAATTGGCACTTGGCTATCCACTAGATAATCAATGAACTTGCTGGTTAGAACAGAAGCCCATTTGGCGCTTGAAAGACTGAATTATAGCCATTTAGTTTGAAACTACCTTCAACGTATAGATTACTACAGATGAAGCCCGCTGTTCCTATTTCACCCTTTGATCCATCAGTGAATACATTGATTTCTCCATTAGTACTGGCGATCACAGAATCATTGGTCCATTTTTTTCTACTGGTCAATGAAAACGTTGACAATTTAGCCTGCGTTGAATTTATTAATTTTTTGCTGAATTTTTAAAGGCTTCCGAAAAGTTAATTGATATCCACACAAAAGTTAGATCAAGCAACTAAAACAACAAAATATATATTTATTTAAACAACCTTCTTCATACAATATTAACTTAAATCTAATTAGATATTAAAAAACAAATTTCAATAATTTCTTTAGTTCTTCTTTTCGAACTTCGATCTTCGCCCACCGCGTCCTTGTCGCTGGCTTTTACTGTTCGCCGCTTTACGCATTTGGTTTCGGATACTAATCATTCCACGCATTTTCTGGGTTTTACCCTTGTTAGAACCCCGTTTATTGTCTTTCGATTCCTGTATCACAGTTTCAGTAGCAGTCTGTGAATCTTCGGTATTCTCTGTCGTTGGTTCTATTTCAATGTCCTCTTCTTCTTCTTGCTCATTTTCGGACACAGGAAGTTCTTGAAGACTGGCCTCGGCAGTTGCTGGTTTTGTTCCTCGAGAGTTATCGACGTCTAAATAAATATTATACGGATAATTATTACAGAGTTTTTCAAAATTATAGAAGTGCCAGCGGAGAGAATAAAAAAGAGATCCTAAATTATTTGAAGAGAGTTGGAAGGGTTTTTAACTAATAATGGAAACGGACTTAGTACTTCTAACTGGGATGAGAATGCCTTGTCTTAGTGAACCTAAAATGTGCTTGCTCTTTCTGACATATTTACCTTCTTAATTTACAGCTTGCTCAGATTCTACGTCAACTCATGAAGGTTAGATCTGAACACAAATCAAATGAATTCTATTTTGGTGGCACCTTCCCATAGAAATTTGAACTTTTCAGACGGTCTGATATAGGTTCATTCAAAATATTTATTTGTCTCGGCAAGGTCTTCAACCAAACGGTGAAATTAGGTCAAGTTTTCTATCAACAAATAGAAACAATTTCAAAAATACTAACAACAATCACCCAAGACACTTATATATGTACATATGTGAGTAAGAATTATAGTTTGTACAGCCATACATACATATAATATATTGAAACACGTGTGTTAATGAATATTGTCTGGGTTGGGTAAACAAAGCAACCCGTTGTATTAGAAATATATCTACAATCTAGTATATACTTTCAAATTTACGTATGTATGTAGGTCCAATCTTGACAGATGGAATAGTTATTGTGTAAATAATCTGTATTCTATAAAAACAACCTATACTCTTCGGCAGCTAACATTTTAAATTTGGTGCACGAAAGTGAAAGTTCTCTAAAAATGGCTGCGAAATTATTAACTTTACTCATTTCCGCTTTTCTATTACTGTCTTTGCTCAGTAACAATATCAATGTGAATGCAGCAGAGACAAAAACTGGTGTCGAAGATGATTTGGGTTTAGACCATTTAAATGATAAAGCAAATGAAGCTCTCGCAGATCCAATTGATGAGCAAGAAAGCAAAAATGTCAGCGATAAAACAGTCGATGAAAAGGATGACGTAGAGGTAGAGAATAAGAACAAAGATGAAGAAGAAACCGCCAAAGAGTTGAGTGCAAACGAAGGTGATGGAGTTGGCGAAGAATCGGACCAAGCTGTAAATAAAGAAGGTGAGTATATCAGAAAGAGAAATAAACAAGAGCAAGCACATTTTCATTATAATTCACTATAAGAAAGTGTAGCTTTTCTTATCCCAGTTAAAAAAACTAAGTCCGTTCCCATTATAAGTAAAAAGCCCTTCCAACTCTCTTCAAATACTTTAGGATCTCTTTTTTATTCTTTCCACTGGCACTTCTATAATACGGTTTTTTGAAAAAGTCTGTACTAATAAAAAATCCGCATATTATATATTTAGATGTCGATAACTCTCAAGATAAGAGAGGAAAAAAAGGCGGCGGTCGTAGACGAAGACGTAATAACTTGAGAAACCGTGGAACAAATCCAGGAACTGCCGAAGCCAGTCTCCAAGAACTTCCTGTGTCCGAAAATGAGCAAGAAGAAGAAGAGGACATTGAAATAGAACCAACAACAGAGAATATCGAAGATTCACAGACTGCTACTAAAACTGTAATACAGAAATCGAAAACCAATAAACGGGGTTCAAAAGGAAGTAAAAACCAGAAAAAGCGTGGAACGGCTTTTAAGAAACCGAATGCCGCGAAACTTAAAGCACGACCTGCGCGAAGACAGCAAGCAAAATCTGCAAAACGAAGTACTAAAAAATTCATGAGCAATGGAAAACAGTTTCCGAAAAACAACAAAGGTAAAGCGGCGAGCAGTAAAAGCCAGCGACAGAAGGGACGCGGTGGACGAAGATCAAAGTTCGGAAAGAGGAACTAAAAGAAATTATTGAAATTTGTTTTTTAATATCTAATTAGATTTATGTAAATATTGTATGAAGAAGGTTGTTTAAATAAATATATAGTTTGTTGTTTTAGTTGCTTGATCTAACTTTTGTGTGAGTATCAATTAACTTTTCGGAAGTCTCTAAAAATTCAGCAAAAAATTAATAAATTGAACTCAGGCTAAATTGTCAACGTCTTCATTGACCAGTAGAAAAAAATGGACCAATGGTTCTGTGATCGCCAGTACTAATGGAGAAATCAATGTATTCACTGATGGATCAAAGGGTGAAATAGGAACAGGAGCGGGCTTCATCTGTAGTAATCTATACGTTGAAGGTAGCTTCAAACTAAATGGCTATAATTCAGTCTTTCAAGCGCCAAATGGGCTTCTGTTCTAATCAGCAAGTTGATTGACTTTCTAGTGGATAGCCAAGTGGCAATTAATGTCAAAACGTGTCATATTTTAACAGTTATCATTCAAGAAAGTTCTATACCTAATAAAAAAGCATCCTCTATATAAATTCGGAATGTTTTTCACATTGTTCTCAGCTCTGACAACTGCTAGGCTATGATCTTACATTCAGACAACGCAAAATTATTCGTTATATCATAATTTTACTTTTCTCTGCGCTGTAACTCGTATTTTTTTCTTTGCACTAAGCAAGCAATCGAGCACTTTTAGTACATCTTACAGCACTTACGCGGCGCTCGCTAAGCAACTTAAATACTCACTTACACTTGCTAAGTACATTTTAAGCGATGATTTATCTGCAACACAATTCGTGCTTATACATATACATCACGTGTGTGTATGTGTGCACTTTTCGCTCACTTTCACGGCTAGCTGCCACAATTGTAACTGACACTCACATTTGGAGTTGCAACAAGCGTTTGGAGGAACAATTCGCCACTGTTAAGCTAAATATTCCCACAGCGTCGGCAGGCAGCTCAAAGTGCTTTCCCCTATAGCACCACGCGAGTGTCGCTCCATTTTAGCTCCGCTTTAGCTGCGATGTCCGTCCTTAATGCCAATATATGGCAATAGTATCAGTGTCAGTTTTAGTTTCAACTGCTTTTATATGCTTCTTTCGTTTGCTTTCAAAGCCATTGCGATTTTCGCAAATTTCTGTTGTTCCAGGATGTGTGGACAAAGCGCCGGGGTAAGAGCGCTTCTGGTGGGCTTTAGCCAGTTGCGCGTAAAGGGATATAAGCGGATTTGCGTATTTCTATTTTTTTCAGTGAATGGTGATCGCATTCTGTTTGTTTGTGTTTTTTTCTTTTCATATTCTATTTTCTGTGGGCATGTTCCATTTCACACATTTGGACGCGACGACTGCTTTGAGCGTTTTTTCCACGAATACGCTTGTTTGTTATATTCTATTTGCTTTGCGTTCAGCGTTTACTAAGCTTGTTGTGGTTTTGGAAACAATTTTTTTTTTTGTTGTTTATGTTCTTAAAGTTATGCATGCATTCGCCGTTGATTTTTTTCTTTGAAAAATCTCCAAAGTGCAAAATATTGTGCTTCAAAATACGATTTTAATATTATAGCGATTTGCCAACTTTTCGATTTTTTTAGTACGATTTCTATTTTGTTTCAAAATACGTTTCACTTCCGGTGATTACCTCTTCATTGTCGCCAAATTTTTTTCAGCTAGCATTCTCTTGACATCTGAAAACAAAAAACAATTTCTATGACGAGATGCGTGGAAAATTGTATATACAAAATCGTGTCGCAGTTCATGTAATTTTTTCATGGTAGTCGCTAAGTATTGATGAAGCTTGACTTGGTTCGTATTTATATGAGGCATTTTCAAGGATATTTCGTTCTTAAAACTTTGCAATAATGATATACCTATAAAATTAAAAGTGCTATATGGTAGTTTCAATAAACGGCCTCCATTTTTAGGTTCATCGTTAAAAATTGATGGTTTAAGTTCCCCGATAATGGACTAAGAAGTATAGTTATACTTGTAGAGCTATATATCCATTGTCACATATCGACGCAAAACAGCGGGTTTATTACGATTTAGTAGCTCCAAATACTCCTCATACTCAATTTGTTATGACTTTTGGTCGATTGTGGGTTTGAATATTCACATAATCATCAATGCGTAAAGCGTTAATTGATACATATATAGTATTTAGAGTGTCATTTACTATTCGAACTAACTCTGCCATTATAGAATTCTTGAGATTTTTTAGTGCATTCTCCGAAACTACTACTATACTTGGTTGTATATGAACGCAGTAAACGTACTCGATCATAAGGGGTATGTCTTCGAAATTAGCATCATCTTATTTTTATTCATTTATTCGAAAATAGCAAAACTTGGGTCACTTAAAAGGCTATTATTAACGATGCGATGCCGTAACGACTGAAATAAGGTATATATGTTATCCAGGAAACATCATGAGTATGCTACAAGGATGGTAAGGCGAACTGTCTTATCTTCGTCATTGAACATTATGCAGTCATAAGCCCTAATATTATAAAGAGGAATGCAAGAAGCTATCTAGACTTAGTCACCCAAGAATTTACAAAGGTCAGTTTGACTTTATACCATATATATCGGTCAATATGTCAGTTATCTCAATATAACTCAGAGAGCATCTTTTTCTAGTAATAATGTGTTTTGATGCTGAAAGTGGATAATATCGGGCCAATGCTAAACTTAGTCCCTTTGTACCTAATGTAAGAATTTCAAACTTCCGGTTGTTGTTTTTGCGTATATTGTATCGGATAGTGAACATATAATTTGTATATACTATAGCTTAATGCTGAAAATGTGTGAAATCGGTTTTCGAATCACCCCAGCTCCCATATATATGTACTAAATATAATGATTTCATATTATTCGAGCAGTTAGTATATCAAATAGATCGACTAATATGTAAGTTATCTTCCCAAAATCATATGAAAACATATTCTTGATTATACTTGAGTATTATAATGATTTCTGATTATGTGGTTGATCATTTCCCGGTATACGCACTATATTCAGTATAGCCTTTTGGGTTGAATTTATTTCCCATATTTCTTATTTCAGTTAAATAAGTTGATTTAAAAAAAATTTCGAAATGGTATAGTAATAGAATTAAGTATGTCTATGACCTATAATAAGTATACGTGAATAAGTTACCAAATCTGATTGTAAACCATTCATGCTTTTGGCGAATAATAAAACTTTAATTCTTTGGCAATATTTTTTTTAATAGTATTAAAATTTAGTTAAAATTTTATCAAGACCTGAAAGTATTTCTCCGGCTTTGATTTTTGCGAGAGTATAAAATTTTCGGTTACACCCGAACTTAGTCCTTCATTACTTCATTACTGGTCAGAATTATCATGTAGTCGCGTATGTCTCCTGCCTCCAGTTCGGCAATAATGAAAAGAGTGTGCCAGTCCTTTATATTCCATTCCAATTTCGATAGCTACCGAATCGCCTCAATCGTGTGTTTATGTAAAACGTATGCATAAATTCATCTATGGTATAAACAGCTGACAAGTTTAGATAGCAACGATCCTTTCTACTGTGATTTTACATAACCCACAAGTTGAATATTTTCAAACGCTTACCGTTAGTCTCTTAAATTAACTAAAATTTGTAGACAAAAATATATGAAATTTATACCACGCTCTTTTTATTGACTCTTTCGGTTCGTCTAGGCTTGGATAGCTAAGTCGATAGGTTATCCGTGTCTTTTAGCAGTTCAACAAGATCTACATTAAACTGTTATGGTCAATGCCGTTAGAATTTAGGCATTTTGCTTTCAGCATGTCGGCGTTCTTCTGCAGCTTTAGTACTACGTTATTGCTAAATAAAGACCGCCTTATTATAATAATAACAATAACAATAAAAATTCAGTACAGCAAAAAAAAAAGAATCAAATATACATATGTATATATATACTTGTATATATTGCAATATATGTTATATAGACTTAGCAGAGCAACGAACTTTTTTTCGTCAGTTTATTGTTAGCTATCAATGCCATTATCAGCCGGAAAATGGCTTACGGCAACAGACAGCATTGAAACAACTATAAATACCATACCATGTCACACATGTAATATAGGTTCGTATTTGCATTGGGGTGGTACTAAAAAATGGTTTTCCTCATTCTCACACCCTTACGGACATACGAATTTGAACCAAGTTGCAGATGATCAAGGCATTGGCTCAAGAATCAATGTACGGCTTGCTTTATGGAGACTTTAAAAAGTTTCCCATCAACTTTATAACAGCCTGAAAAACATATCAGAGATCCTAAAATACATATATATATATATATATAAGAATATATATAAGTGATCAGCTTAAAGAGCTGAGTCGAATTAGTCATGTCTGTCTGTCCTTCAGTCTGTCTGTATCTAGTCTGTCGTTCTAAAATTTCGCACACAGGCTTTTCTCCCTCATTTACCGCTACCGCCGATATCGGACCTCTGTAGCATATAGTTGCCATACAAACTGAACGATTGAAGATATAAACGTAGAAGTCGAAATTTAGGAGATCTGATAAAAACATTGTATTCCACATTTAAGGACTAACCTAGTGTACATCCGTTCATATATACATATGTACAATTATTTATGTACTGGCATGCTTACGAACCATACAATGCGCTTAGGCTCACACTTACACCACTAATTCTCTACCAATTAGGGATTTAACGGAGATTTTCATCAATTGTTTAGCTTTAGCCTTGACCAAATAGGAACAACAAAGGAAGCGAAGCAAAAAAAGCATGGAAAAAATTGAGGCAGGGTTATTTCAACAAAGCAAGTAGAAAGATAATTAACTTGTAGTAAAGTCCAATCATGCAGTGTCTCTGCGGAAAGTCGGTAAATTCACAAAAAAATGGCACCCCAGTATGTTGGGCGATAGAATTGACTGCAGTTCATATGAACACATCATTTGATGTCTGTATGTGACCAGTAAAAACAATTACGCACAAAAATTATCTTGTGCCCTTCATATAAAAAACGAAAACTGTCTGATTTAGCATTGCGTATGTTGAATGTTCATTATTTTTCTTGTTTTTCATAAAGTCAGGCCTTACTCATTTCACACATGTACAGATATCCTGTTGATTTCTTCAAGTATTAATTCACTGACCATCCCTTCATAGTCTACAAGTCAATCTATGTATTACGAAGATGTCACGTGTCTCCTCGCAGACAGTCCAGTGGGCAATCAGTTGCTCAGTATA